TAAACAGTATAAACCTATTACGTAGCTAGTTTATATTTTTATCAGGTTTTGTCAAGAGTATTGTCGGCATCACTAGTCGGAACACTATATTTTACCTCGGGTAAAAAAATTGGAATGTAAATATTATGACATTTGAAGCGATGATTGGTCGGTTATCACGTGAGTTTAACTGATTATTTAACCGATTAAAGTCAATTAAATATTAAGTTTGACCAGTTATAAATTTATTGACTGGGTTCCAATTCCTGGACTAAGTCATGCCACCTAAAATACCTTAATTTTTCTACTCAACCGGTTGCCGAAACTTAACTTCGACTGCGTCGACTTCTCCTTTAATGATTTAACCAATCTAAATCTTTTATTGCAACAGAATCAATGGAATCATTAGCGAAAGTTGCAATACAGCACAGAAATGAATCAAACTCTTTTTCTTGCAAAATTAATATTAATATTTAAATTTCATTGAACTAAAAATGGAATAGCAGAATTCATTACGGCTTGATTAAATGTTAAAAGATGGGGTTGTTTTATTACGTTTATATCGAGGTACCGATTATTGGTTCTAAAGCTTCGGGAATTAATAAAGTGACTGTTTTTCGTATCGGTTAGAAAATTGTTGAGAATTCACCGTTTATTACGTTTAATATGTAAAAAAAGTAAAATTAATGCTTAGGCGACCTTACAATGGTAAATTTTTGAAGAAAAAAGATGATTTGTGTCTCGTTTATTTGTTCCTTCTTGCAATGGTAATTTACTTGGTTATTTTATTCAATTTCCAACTATTTAAAAATTTACCTCCAATCACTAGTAGAACACCCTTAGTCGATTCTTGATTAAGTATATAGAAAGTTTAGAAAAATCAGACAATCAAACAGCTTTATAATGACGAGTTTATAGAAAAATTCAGGACATAAAATTAACTTGCAGAGCCACTTTTTAATTTTGGCTTAGTTGAGTTAACAAATTTAGATTGACTGCAAACAATATATGGTGGCTTATTAAAATACATATACTAAAAATATATACCAAAATCCCTTTAATTGCCATTAATGTAAAGATGACAATCAAAAAATACGTAATCAGAGCATTTGTGTGTGCCTATACAGATTGTAATGTTTATGTTTATATAAAAAGCCTTATAATATCATCTGAGCTTCATTATCATACGTTGTTTGTTCTCAAATACAATATATACGTATGTACGATAAGGACAATAAGGCTATGCAGTAGAGTTGCACTATAAATATATTTTCTTTTCCACAAACAAATCTACACAATAAATCTTTGGCAAATGGAACACGATGCATTTGAAGAAACTGTTGAGGGAAGGATTTTTGGCAATTTTAGTTTTGATGAATTTCCATATATTGTAAAAAACAAATACGATATAGTCGACATACGAGAGTTGACTTGTAAGTACTTGCACAAAACAATAGATAAACTTGATATAGATAAACTCGACAAGATCATAAATAAAATGTCAGAAATGTTTGAAGATTATATTATTCAATCAATTGACAGTAACGAGAATACGAATAATGATGACGACATGAATAGATTAGAGGCTCAGATAATTGAACATTTATCATCAGACATATCCAAATTAGCAAAATTATTTGCTGCATTCTCTACTGAAATTCTTCATAGCGATATATATGGAATGATTGATTTAAGGCCATATAAATTAGCTGGCATTAATACATCAGTATTAAATGCTGGAATATTTTCTAGAGCTGGTAACCAAGTTAAATTATCTCAAATAATAAGGCATTTAAGATTTCTTAATGATACTAATTTTATTGAAGAATATAATAAAAGGATTGATAGGGTAACAAACAAAAACAACATTTATAATGTTATGATCAATTCCATAGCAAGTAACTTGACACCTTTTGGCGATTATCCTACCACATATGATAGAACATGGTTAGATGAAAATATATCATTTGTTCAATTGATTTATCGAAATTTAGGTGGTAATGATAAGGTCAAACAGCGTACATTCGATCGGATTGATCCAGCAATTATACCAAGTTTGACAGAAATGCATAGAAACATTATTAAGTTTATTCCTTTAGGTGATAGGGTGCTTGAATTTAGGTTTGAAAAGGGTAAAGTGAGGATCACGAAACTTTTTATACATCCACATTGGATTGAAACTTTGTGGAATATTGTATTGCTTGAAATGAGATCAAAATGTAAACCAATAGTTGGTACCTTAACTTGCTTTTATGCTGGCATAATAAAAAGCAAAGAAGATTTCAATCTTGCACATGAGCTTGGCATTATTTACAGTGGACCAATGAATTTCGCTCGATTTCATGAGATTATTTCTAAACTTTCTGAAATGTGTCACTATATTACAACCGTTGAAGGCTCAAAGCAGATTAAAAGTCTTATATCAACTGTGAGAGCATCGCAAGACAACTCACTTTTACAATTGTACATAATTTCTGGAGAAAATGTGTGGATAAGAATTATTAATATTTCAGCTATTGTAATCTTGTTGCTTACTATGGTACAAACTATTTTGTCAATTCTATCTTACAAATTGTCACTAGGGCAAAGAATCTATTAAAATATTAATACAGTCTTCCTCCTCTATAATCACACAGTCTGTATCAAGAAAATTGGTGATTATAAAAGAGTGTGATTATATAGAAGTCTTTTTTTATAAGTTTTTTAATAAATTGTCTCAAAAATTAATGTGATTATATGGGAGTTGTGATTATATAGGAGGTGATTATAGAGGAGTAAGACTGTAATAAGTTTTTCAATGAATTATTGTTTTATGCTTGCAGTATACTTTGTTCTTTAAACCTAGAAAAGATGTAAGATACATAGACTCATTGTCGTATACTTTTGAGATAATTTATCCTTTATTTCGAACATTTGATAATGTTCTTTATAACTTTCAAATTCAATGAGAAAATATTTATTCTTTTTAAAGATCCTTTAGAAACTTATTCCTATTTTCTTCCTTTGATTTCAATTCTTGAAATTTAGTCTCAAACACTATTTCTTTTGTTGATTAAAAATCATTCACCTTAAATTTTTCTGATTCTTTTCATCTTTATATGCCGTAAAAATATGTAAATTGTAATTCTGTATATTATACGTATTATATCATTTGAGATAAATTAGGAGTATTAAAGTAGGATTAATTAGGAGTATTAAGCCAGGTATTAATAGGAGTATTGAGGTAGGAGTATTAAGGTAGGAGGATTAAGTAGATATTAATTAGGAATATTAAGGTAGAAATTCATGAAGGAGTGTAATGTACCATGTTTTCACAAAATCATAAACATGGCTTATTTGATTTTTAAATAGTGCCTTTCTTTTACTTACATAATTTTAAATCATCTATATTTTATTCGAATTAAAGTGTATGAGGAAAACGCATGCTGTTTTATACGTGCTAGACATAATTAAACTGTAAATAATGTGGAAAAGTTAATATAAAAATTGCTTATGAATACTACATTTATTACTTTAAAATATCATAGCTCATGGTCTCAAAATAATTTTTGAAATAAATGCAAAAACATTCATCAAAGCCCCAATGTGAGAAGAGGTATCGATTTCTGATTACCTTTTTAGAAATTTTATCATATTTATAATTATAATATTAAGATTCAGCTTTTAGTACTGTAGAATGCAAAAGAAAAGGGCTGCCGTCAATAGAAATCAAGCAGATTACCGTTTAAAAAAATTAACACCTTTACTTTCATAGTTTTATTCGATGAATTCAGAAACTATTTTAATAATTTAATAATCAAAAGAAACCCTTTGTCTTAAGCTTTGTTTTGACTATTAAATCATTAAAATAGCATCAGAATTAGTGCTCCACCAATTTACATATCACCTTCCTTTTATAATGTGATATCTTAGTTGGGGTTAGGTTAGAGTTAGTGGGCAGCATTA